ACAAAGATATATGGTTTTGATCTTTGAGTTTTTCCTTTAGATTCGATGGCTGCTCCACCTGCTAGAGCCAGAGCTGATTACGATTATCTCATAAAGCTTCTTTTGATCGGAGATAGTGGTATGTGATCTAAACCTCCTCGATCTTTTGTTTCTCGCGTTTTCTCTGGATCCGAGCGTAAGGTCTTGAATCTATTCATTTTCTATGGAATCGATCTATTCACTGTGATGTTGCTGAATTTTTTTTATTTTTTATGCTTGGTTCTGAGATCGTTGTGTGGACCTGGCAATACAGTTTTTTAGCGTGATCGCTCCTTGCTCTAATTACCGATTAGATTGTGTATAGAGTGATCTCTGAAATTTACGGATTTCTTTTGCAGGTGTCGGTAAAAGTTGCCTCCTTCTACGTTTCTCTGATGGATCCTTCACTACTAGTTTCATTACCACCATTGGGTTTGTGTTCCCTTGGCTATGGAGTAGTGATGTATATGTTTGATTTTTTTGTTTTCTTCTAGACGTCTCACAAAGTCTTGTTCTCTTTTTTGCCTTGGTGTAGCATTGACTTTAAGATAAGAACGATTGAGCTTGATGGCAAACGTATCAAGCTCCAGATTTGGGATACTGCTGGTCAAGAACGGTTTCGGACAATCACCACTGGTGAGTTCATCTTTTCCTATTAATTCACCATCCCAGTGTATATCGAGTTAGATAGATTGTGTAGTAGATACAAACACTGGCTATACGTAGTCTTAAAGTAGCCACTTATAGGTTGAGGGGATGTATCTGTGCAATGCTACTTTACTGATTTACTTTGTTTGGCTGATTACTTTCCTACGTATTGTATAGTTGATGATGTTGGGCTATATCGGCATTTTATATTGATGGTTTCCTTTGGCTCAACACCAGTTTTGAAGATTCTTTTCCTTTTCCATTTTGACAGCTTATTACCGCGGGGCAATGGGCATTTTGCTGGTGTATGATGTCACAGACGAATCATCCTTTAACAGTAAAACCCCCCTGCTCCTTGTATTCTTTCACTTTCGGGTTTCTATGAAATGATCATATCTTTTACACTCAAGATTCTTGACGTTATTGCAGACATTAGGAACTGGATTCGTAATATCGAACAGCATGCTTCAGATAATGTTAACAAGATCTTGGTAGGAAACAAGGCTGACATGGACGAAAGCAAGAGGGTAACGTTCACACTGACATTATCCTAGTTCATGATTCACGGCTGATCCTAACAATAGTTTCTTGGTCCTTTCACAATTTGCAGGCTGTACCTACAGCAAAGGGTCAGGCTCTTGCTGATGAGTACGGAATCAAGTTCTTCGAAACAGTAAGTTTGACAATTCTCTCAATCTTCAGTTTCAAGAGAACTTACACGGCTATAAACTAGATGGTCGTGTACACATTGCTTACATATCTGCGTCTTGTTGCAGAGTGCCAAGACAAACCTAAACGTGGAAGAAGTTTTCTTCTCAATAGGCAGGGACATAAAGCAGAGGCTTTCAGACACTGACTCGAGGGCAGAGGTTTGTCACTACATCTCTGCATCGTTACTTATTTTTGGTCTCATAAACGTATTGCTTCATGTATTGTCGTCAATTGCAGCCTGCGACGATCAAGATAAGCCAAATGGACCAGGCAGCTGGAGCCGGGCAGGCGACACAGAAGTCTGCATGCTGTGGAAGTTAAAAAAAGAAGTTTCAAAAGTGAAGTTTTAAGTGAAAAAACAAAAGTTTGGGGAAAAAATAAGATGTCGTCGTTGGGTGCTTCTGTAATTTTTGTTTTATTCCAACATGTCTGATTCGTTCTTAAATTTGCCTTTCCTAATTGTACGAAGGTTTAATCGAAACTTGTATTATTTTTTTTTCTTCTGTTGCTGAATTTTTTTCACGGTGACTGAATTGTTATGTTGGTCATCATTCCCACTCTCTCTATATATTCTCTATTCTTCTGTTTCTATTGCTTGCTTTTAAAATCAAGTCTTTTACATTACTTCTAAGAGTTTATCTACTTGTAAGTAAAGCATGCTACCCAATTCATTGCTTCCACCAAATTGTAGATTAATCTTTAATTGAGCATCAACCTTCAAAACATAGGATATGATTGTATTTTGGTGAGAAAACAAACGTTTAATTCTTCGATCTAGTGAAACTTATCAATTTTTTTGTTGCACCACAGTAACCACACTTAAATTGCGGTTTCAACACTAGTTAAACCACTCATAGACCTTCAAGGGTTTTAAAGTAGAAAAAAAAGAACAAAATAATAATTGATCAAACGATAAAAGAAGCCTCAAATACTAAATCAAAATATGTTCATCACAAAGACTACAAAAACTAAAAATTTAATGAATAGAGGAGCTTACAATATATATTCAAGAAACATAAAGCAAGAAACACAAGCAATCATCAGTAAATGGATACTCCGAGCTCCAAGTTCAAATTGAGACTCTCCTTAGAATCTAACCCTAAATCCAAAAATACCACTCTCTTCCCACTACTCGATTTCTTCAGAGTCTTCGTCGTGGCCTCCTCCGGCATAAAAGAGCGTGTAACCAACGCGCCGCCGCCACTTTCTTTCTCGTTCCTATGCCTCCTCATGTGACCACCAAGAGCCTGTCCCATCGGAAACTCCACGCCACAAATCGGACATGGATGCGACGTCGTCGTTTTGACCTTCTTAGCGACGGATCCGAGTGAGTGTTCGTCGCCGCCACTAATAGACTTCTTGTGGCTTGCACGGTGGCCTCCTAAAGCCTGGAACGATGTAAACTCTTTCATACAAGTCTTGCATCTGAAAACGCGACCGTTTTCTCCAACTCTCGATAACAACATCAGACAGTTTGCCGTATCTTCCACCGTCCGATCAATTCTCGCAACCATGCTTGATGTGCTAAGTGAATTTGTCTGAGACTTACTTGACTTGACTTCTAGGGTTTTTGTTGTGTTTTTTCCACGGTTGGGATTTCAGTTTGTGTGTGTGTTGTGTCGTGATGGGTACTACAATATATTTATAGTGGAGGAGGAGAGTTTGTGTGAGTAAGGGACGTAAATGATAAATGACGGAAATACCCAAAATGACTTGCTGCGTAAGCAAGTGAAAGTGGTATTCTTGTAATTAAGTGGGAATATGAGGTGGAGGAAAGAAATAGGAAATCACCGTCATTGTTTGCGTCACCGCGTAAGACATTAGGAGGAGACTCGGGGGAAAAAAATGGAAATAGTCATTTAGTCGTTATTAGTTAAGAATAAGGAATGTTCTTGGTGATTTTCCTTTTTTCTTAATCCATTAATTTGAAGTCTAGAACAAGTTATTAAATTATAAGTTTATACACTCCAAATCTGAATATTCGCTCCCACACGCGGTCTCCTCTGCTTCGTGCATATGATATAAACAAGGCCATCCACATTGGAGACATTTTACCAATGTTTCACAATATAAAAATATTAAAAACACACTCTCTCTTCCTTTTACTCAACTTTATACCTTCTCATTCATCCTTTTACTCAATTTTATACCTTCTCTTTCATATTTTTACTCAACTTTTATTAATTTTATATTTCAACACACCCCAATTCTCTCTCTCTTATGTCTTCTCCAAGACACAATCTCCAAAAATACCCACTATCTATTCTCTTTACTCAAATTTTATTAATTTTATATTCCAATACACCACACTATTTCAACAAAAAACACTCTCTTTCTTCCTTTTACTCAAATTTTAATAATTTTATATTTAAAGACACCCACATTTTATTACCAATGTGGATGCTCCCTTCTAGAT